AAGTTTTAAATCGATTTAGTGTGTTTAAAAAAAAATTGTGTTCTTGATTTTTTTTAAACCAGTGTTTTGATCTAATTTTTTTATTTTTTGCTTTGTTTTTGTGTTTTTGGTTGTAAATCGATCAAAGCCCAACTGTTTGGCCCAGATTTGTAGGCCATCCTATTTTCTTAATCGCTCAACTCTAAATCACCCCGGCACTACATCACAAGAGTTCTTTATCCATCTGTGTTCTTCCAGCTTCATCTATTCATCCGATTTCTTATGTAAATCACACACAAGGCAGTGGGCTTTTGGTTTATGTAAAGCTTCATCCGATTTAGTTCATCGCACAACATATTTCATTCTATTTAAGGAATCAAATCATCATCGGCCAACCTAGCTTGCTGGATTCAAGTCTAAATCACTCAAATTTTAAATCGCTTAGTTCATCGCTTGGCTTGTGACCGGATTAGGCTGTTAATCGCACAAGACCTGGCCGGATTAGGTTGTTAATTGCACAAGACCTGGCCGGATTAGGCTGTTCTTCGTACAAGGCATGATCGGATTACTAAGTCGCTCACTACTATCACCAGATTATTCCTAAATCGCTCAAGGAGACCAAGTAAACCGCTCACTAGTTCATCACTAATAGGCTGTTCGATGTGAATTTTTTCCTAAATCGCTTAGTATATCCTCGGTATATCGCTAATCTACAAGTTATGTTTGTTTAGTGTAAATTGATCACTGCTTCATATGTAATTCTTCTAAATCGGACAGCATCTCATCTGGATTCTTATGTTCATCGCTCAATACTTGTTTGTGGTTCAAAATCGATTACTGAAAATCGAACACAGGGGTACAATTTTGTAAAAGCATATCACTATGTTAATTTTTGGTCTTAATTGCTCAAGACAGTTGCTTCATAGTTATTTGTACAAGATTTTTTAAGCATTGCAAGGCATGGGGTTTGGATAGAGATATTAGGTTGTATTTTCTTTTTTTTGGTTATATCTTGTGAGGGAGCAGGTTGAACAGTATGGTAATGACCATTACAGTAAAGCATTTGTTGATGGTGGTACGTCTATAATAGATTTCAAACAAAAGGATCGCTTGGTAGATGATTTTGTTGGTTCTAAATGGTGGAACTCAGATTTGAGGTCTGGTTGATTTGAAGATTTGGGTTCTAACGGCTGATTGCTGATCACATCACTCAGGTTCTATTTTAAGGATTTGTTATCAAATCTGTGTTTCTGTGGAGCAGCTTGGCATACCCAGGAAGATCACGATCAACAAGGACTAGTGGATTTCTAAATCGTTTGTAGGCTTTTTCAAGTTATGTTGTACATCGCTTGAGGCTTTATTCGGAATTGGTTATATCGCATACAATCCTGATTCGTCTCCTTCCTTGTTCAGGTTCTGTGTAAATTGGTACTATTGGAATCCTAAGTCTTGGGGTCCAAGCAATCACGATTATGGAAACAATGACAAGTCAGTTCATACTTTCCTAATTATAAGCTAATACAAGTCGGTTATTAGCTTCTATAAATACATTGTTTTAGATTGAGTTTTTTTAATCTTTTGAGAAACATTGTAAACACCGTGAGTTTTGAGTAGTTTTCTCACATTAATCAAAGAGTGATTTTGGTTATTTAGTTTTGCAATTATTCAATACCAAACTTTAATTGGTATCAGAGCCAAGAACCGAAGGCTGTGAGATCGAATTACCTTCCTGGTGAACAAGTCGGTCACCTTGTCAGGAGCAGAAACACCTGCCGGTACGTCGACGAAGGAGAAAGAGACCAGATCCACCTCGGTGCATTGTACAATGCTCACGTCGACGAACTACACCATTTGGGCTATGAGGATGAAGGTTGTATTAAAGATTCATAAGGCTTGGGAGATATTGAACCAGGAACTACAAAAAAATCAAGATAAAGATGATTTAGCAATAGGTTTGATTTACCAATCGATACCTGAAAATCTTATAATCCAAATCGGTGAACAAGATTCATCTAAGGGACTTTGGGATGGAATCAAATCAAGGCATATGGGGGGCTGACCGTGTGAAGGAGGCACGATTACAGACTTTGATGTCCGATTTTGATCGATTGAAGATGACTGAGTCGGAGTCGATCGACTCTTTCACTGGAAGATTATCTGGAATTGCATCCAAGGTAGAAGCATTAGGTGAATCGATTGATGAACCAAAGATGGTGAAGAAATTCCTGAAGTCGCTACCGATGGCAAAATTCATTCATATTGTCGCCTCTTTGGAACAGGTGTTGGATTTGAAAACCGTTGGCTTCGAAGATGTAGTGGGGCGATTAAAGGCTTATGAGGAGCGGATAAGGGAGAAAGAAATCAGTGGTGAGGATCAACCGCAGGTTCTGTTCGTCGACCATGGTGGAAGTGTGAATTGGAAATCACAGAAGGGGAGACTGAAGGGGCCGGGTCCTAACGGGTCTTATAATTCGAATGGGTCTGGTGGATCAAACAATGCTAATCGGGCTTCTCATGGTGGAAAGGCCAAACAACATTGGGCTAATAACAACCGCAAATCAACTCGGTCCACAAATCAGTCCAATAATGACCCGAAAAGGGAAAATAAAAAAGACAAATAATGTGATAAACCGGGTCACTTTGCGTCTCAATGTCTGGACCGAATTCAAAAATTACAAGAAAGTAATTTTACCAAAAGTGACGATACCGAAGCGACCGTATTTGTACACGAGACCGTGTTTATAAACGAAGAAAAGGTGATACCATCTCAATACGACTCACAAGATAACGATGTGTGGTATTTGGATAACGGGGCAAGCAATCACATGACGGGAAACCAGTCGTTTTTCTCCGAACTCGATGAAGGAATAACCGGGAAGGTTAAATTTGGAGATAATTCATGTGTAAAAATCAAGGGAAAAGGTGCCATACCTTTCCAAGGCAAGAACGGTCAACAAAGGCTGATGACGGAGATTTATTACATACCGGATCTCAAGAACAACATCATTAGCCTTGGTCAGACAACGGAAGCCGGGTGTGACATTCGAATGAAAGGCAACGTTCTGACCATGCATGATGCCAATAATCGTTTATTAATGAAGGTACAAAGAACTCCAAACCGCCTTTATAAAATAAAATTAAAAATTGGAGTACCTATTTGCCTTCATTCGAGACTAAGTGAGGATACGTGGCGATGGCATGCTAGACTCGGGCACATCAATTTCGAGTCAATGAAAAAGATGTCCAAGAAGGGTCTAGTTAAAGGGTTACCCCAATTTGATCATGAGAATCAACTGTGCGAGTCTTGCTTGGTGGGCAAGCAAACAAGAAAGTCATTCCTGACTATGACGACATACAAAGCAAAACGACCATTGGAAATAGTTCACGCCGATTTATGTGGTCCGATCACGCCGGCAACCAAGGGTCAAAATCGGTATGTTTTCACACTAATTGATGATTTTTCACAATTTATGTGGATTTATCTCATGAAAGAAAAGAGTGAGGCATTTACACACTTCAGAATGTTCAAAGCTTTGGCGGAGAATGAAATCAGAAAGCCTTTGAATGTTTTTAGAAGTGATCGAGGAGGCGAGTTTACTTCTCTCGAGTTTAAAATATTTTGTGATCAAAACGGAGTTAAACGCCACCTTACCGCCCCATATTCACCGCAACAAAACGAAATTGTGGAACAAAGAAACCGAACACTTATGGACATGACATGAAGCATAATGAAGGCAATGCATGTTCCGAATTACTTATGGGGAGAAGCGGTAAAACACTCTAGCAACTTGATCAATCATGTTCACACACGAGCCCTTGGTGATACAACTCCATACGAAAAGTTGTATAAAAGAAAACCGAATTTAGAAAACGTTCGTATATTTGGGTGTCAAGCATATGCAAAAGTTGAACTGGTAAACCTCAAGAAGTTGGATGCAAGGTCAAGACCACTAGTACATCTTGGTTCCGAACCGGGTACAAAGGCCTATCGGCTATTTGACCTGACGACACAAAAGGTAATCGTGACTCGAGACGTTATTTTTAATGAAACCAAAGGGTGAGATTGGCATAAAGAAGCAAGAACCAACGATGAAGAACCGAGCTCGTTCATAGTACCATCGGATTGCTCAGAAGAAGAGGCGAACGACAACCAAGGAAACGATGTAAACATTGATCCAATTATTGAACTGATTGAATCGGATCACGAGTTTGAAGACAGAGCGAAAGTACAAGATAACGAACAACCAAGTCCAGTCAACAATAATGTGAACAATGTTCAAAACCAAAGGCCTACGAGACTAAGGAAACTTTCAACTCGATTGCAAGATTATGAGCTTGACCTTGATAACCTTGATGAACTTCTCCTAACAACCAATGACGAGCCGATATCGGTTGAAGAGGCGAAGAAAGAACCGGAGTGGGTCAAAGCCATGAATGTGGAGATCAGTTCGATAAACAAGAATAATACTTGGACTCTCGTGAACAAGCCTATGGGGGTGAAGCCAATCAGACTTAAATGGGTGTTCAAATTGAAGAAAAATGCAGATGGCACCATTAATAAATACAAGGCAAGGTTGGTTGCAAAAGGTTACGTGCAACAACCCGATATTGATTTTCAAGAAGTATTTGCTCTGGTAGCTCGAATCGAAACTATCTGACTTCTTATAGCCTTAGCCACAACTAATGGGTGGGAGCTTCACCACTTAGATGTTGAAATGGCTTTCTTGCATGGAAATTGAAGGAAACCGTTTACGTATCGCAACCGGAAGGCTACATAAAGAAAGGCAACGAGCATAAAGTGTATCGCCTTACGAAAGCACTATATGGCTTAAGACAAGCACCTCGAGCATGGAACACGAAGCTTGACGGAATTTTGAAGAGCATAAAATTTCAAAAGTGCATGAAAGAACCATTTGTACCGGAAAAACGAAGGAGCCAACTTGTTGATTTTGGCAATTTATGTTGATGATTTATTTGTCACATGTACAAATTTGAACATGATCAAAAGGTTCAAATTAGAGATGTCCAAGAGATTTGAGATGTCGGATCTTGGAAGATTAACTTACTACCTGGGCACTGAAGTTAAACAAGAAGAATCGGGGATTACTATAAACCAAGAAGCGTATGCTCGACGCATTCTAAAAGAAGTTTGTTTAAATGATTGCAATTCGACCCACATTCCAATGGAACCGGGAAATAAGTTGTCGAAGGCCGAAGACGAACCCGAAATCGACCTGACACAATATCGAAAGGTGGTAGGATGCCTTAGATATCTCTTGCACACAAGACCCGATATGGCATATGCGGTAGGAGTTGCTAGCTGATACATGCAAAGTCCAAGTGTAACAACCCTCACATCTCAAATACATATAATTCACATCATCATTCTGTAACAACCCTCACATCTCAAATACATATAATTCACATCATCATTCTCATAATACTAAAATAGTATCATTACAAAACATGAACTATCAAAATGTATCTTTAATACATATGCATAGCAAGCTAATATCAACAATTAGACTTTTCCCTTGCCTTTATCTTTCAGAGCACGCTGTCCTGCAAAACAGGTTAATCCAACATCTGAGCGTTAGACCAAAAGGTCTAGTGAGTGTATAATCTCATACAACAATATATATTCCAAACATTCAGTTTAGAATCAAACCTGTTCCGAAACATAAATATATTTATGTTTCTTGCGGATTACACCGCCATCTCATTCTCATATCTCTTTCTCACTCGCGGTTACACTGCCAGTATATCACTCTCGCGGTTATACCGCCATCTCACTCGCAGTTACACTGCCTATTATATCACTCTCGCGGTTACACCGCCATCTCACTCGCAATTACACTGCCCATTATATCACTCTCGCGGTTACACCGCCATCTCACTCGCAGTTTACACTGCTCATATCACCCTCGCGGCTACATCGCCTTTTCACACGCAGTTTACACTTCTCATATCACTCTCGCGGTTACACCGCCTTCTCACACGCAGTTTACACTGCTCATATCACTCTCGCGGTTACACCGCCTTCTCACACGCAGTTTACACTGCTCATATCACTCTCGCAGTTACACCGCCCATATCACTCTCGCGGTTACACCGCCATCTCACTCGCAGTTACACTGCTCATATCACTCTCGCGGTTACACCGCCATCTCACTCACAGTTACACTGCTCATATCACTCTCGCGGTTACACCGCCTTCTCACACGCAGTTTACACTGCTCATATCATTTAAAAATATTTCCAAAACATTCTCTTTTCATCCGGATTAGAAGTCCAGTCAAACCTGTCCGGATTAGAAGTCCGGTCAAAACACTTTGAAAATAAACCAACTCCCTTGTCCGGGTTAGCAATCCGGTCATTATAAACATGAAAATATAACATTCTTGTCCGGTTTACAAGTCCGGTCAATACTTCAATTATATCGTTGTCCGGTTTAGAGTAAACCGGACGATATACCGTTCACCCTTTGTCCGGTTTAGAGTATACCAGACAACACATCATTTAACCTTGTGACCGGTTTAAATTATACCGGTCACCCCTTAGCCGGTTTATAGACTTAAACGTTTTCTCACAAGCGGTTTAGAAGTAAACCGATCACCACATGACCGGTTTAGATGATATCCGGTCACCTCTTGGCCGGTTTAGATAATATACCGGTTACCACTTGGCCGGTTTAGTTATCCGGATTACAATCCGGACAACACTTGTACGGTTTAATCAAGAACATTCATAAAATGCTATAAAATTCAATATAACCAGTTCCNACTGCTCATATCACTCTCGCGGTTACACCACCATCTCCCACGCAGTTTATACTGCTCATATCACTCTCGCGTTTACACCGCCATCTCACACGCAGTTTATACTGCTCATATCACTCTCGCGGTTACACCGCCATCTCACACTCAGTTTATACTGCTCATATCATAAATATTTCCAAAACATTCTCTTTTTCATCCGGATTAGAAGTCCAGTCAAACCTGTCCGGATTAGAAGTCCGGTCAAAACACTGAAAATAAACCAACTCCCTTGTCCGGTTTAGCAATCCAGTCATTAAAAACATGAAAATATAACATTCTTGTCCGGTTTACAAGTCCGGTCAATACTTCAATTATATCGTTGTCCGGTTTAGATTAAACTGGATGATATACCGTTCACCCTTTGTCCGGTTTAGAGTATACCGGACAACACATCATTTAACCTTTTGACCGGTTTAAATTATACTGGTCACCCCTTAGCCGGTTTATAGACTTAAACCTTTTCTCACAAGCGGTTTAGAAGTATACCKATCRCCACATGACCGGTTTAGATGATATMCGGTCACCTCTTGGCCRGTTTAGATAATATACCGGTTACCWYTTGGCCGGTTTAGTTATCCRGATTACAATCCGGASAACACTTGTACGGTTTAATCAAGAACATTCATAAAATGCTATAAAATTCAATATAWCCAGTTCCAAATGCTTATCAATMTGTATGAAAGMAATTCATATCCAAAGCTCTTAATACACTCACCTTTACAAATTGAGAATCAAAGCTTTTGTTATCTCCTTCTCCTTGCTGTGCAATTCAACTTCTTCAGAGAAACTTTTCTATATATGGAATGTGTGTGT